TATCTAGTACTATACTATGTTAATACCCTGAACTTTACCAATATTTTCTTAACACCAAAGAAACGAGAATAAATTTGTGAAGAAAAACTCACATTAATGTGTGCCGGTTATTTTTTTATGGCGTGGCTAACAATGTAATATTTAAAATACTCTATTTCAATTTTTTAAATGCACATTTCTTAGCCATGCAACATTTATATAAAACTTTTGTTTACGAAGACAATTTATGCTGAATAGCAGATATTAGCAGCTAATTTGACATGGTTCTTAAAAAAGACATTATGAAGTTTCATTTAAGTTAAAAACAATCACTTAGTTCAGCTTCGATATCCTTGATTTAGTTATGTATAAAAATATATTTCAAAGGTACAATATATTTTGATATTTTGAAATGGTTAGTATTATTTTTGTTTTTTCATTTTATTTATCAAAAACTGATATTATATGAGGAAAGTATACGTGCAGTATAGTCTAATTATAATATGCACTATTTTATATTATTTTGAAAACACTAAGCGAGTAATTTATTCATTGTCGATACAAAAATAGTTAAATGCTTTTTTAGACTATTGTATATAAAATGTTATTACATAGGTGCTCTAAAGTGCATTTTTCCAAAATATATTTTTATAACAAACCTTTCATGTTTTTAAATATAGATTATAAAATATTTGATCATATATGATCAAAATAATTTTTTTCGATATATTGAGTTTTGGCCAAATTTTTATAAGGGAGGGAACTACTGTGCGTCGGCCGGAGAATGTCATTCCATTCAATAATATAGAGGACTAAATTCTGCGTCGTTTGACATATAAAACGTCAAATTTGGTTTAGTGGTATAGCCGAAATCCAATGTTAAAAAGAAGGAAAATTTCGTATGTCGGTGCAAACTTATATTTTGCGGCTATCTAAGACCACATGTCTTTAAAACAGATACTCTTATTGAAAAAACCCACGAAATAAAAGTTGTTGAGAATAAAATTTCACGTTACATAGATACCTTAGTTTTTAAATTTAGTCACTTATAATTCGAAATTTGGCATCAATTCAAAATAGTTTTTTTCGACGTTTTGAGTCATTTGAAGTTATGCAAGGTAAAGAAATATCAAAATTTTGTACCAAAACAGCACTTCATATTGCTTTGCAATGTTAAAGTAATATACACAACCTGAGTAGAGATTCGAGTAGTAGAAATAAAAATCATTATTTATCAGAGTTTAATTAACTTAAAGTTTATTGATGAAATATAAATGTAATTATGGTATAAATCAATAGACATGCAGCACAAAAAGTGGCGGCATTCATGTTCGCATTTTCTTAGATATCGATGGCCCTTCATCTGAAAAGCTTGGAAGGCGCGGTTGCATATCGAGGTCCTCTTCATCGGGATCATCTTCAAAGGGACCATCCTCACCTATTTCTGCTTCTACGGCAATGTAGGTCTCATTCTTATCCTCGAATGGTGCTGAATTCGAACATGACTGACAACTCATGAGGTAGAGAAGCAAGTTCAAAAGTTGGCTTTGTTAGGGATTTTAAAAATATCTCGTAGCGAATTTGGTCCAAGGAGGTCACATCCAGGGTTCGGAAGTAATTAATTAAGACGTAATTTACCTCATTAACTACGTGTAGTTTTTCTTCAAAAACTACGTCTTTTCCCCTTCATTAACTACATGAAAACTACATTAATAAACTATGTATTGATATTATGAATAATTTTCCTTTGTATGAGGTGTAATAGAGATATAATGTTGACTTCGGCCATCCTCAATTAAAGCCACAATACGAGCAACATCCGTTACCGATAATGGCATTTTTTAATTTGACAACCATTTTTCTGCGAATTCTATGCGAATACCAACTAGACGAAACTCAATTTGGATTTCGCAGTGGCCTAGGTATTCGTGAGGCGTTATTCGGATTAAACGTTATCACTCAGCGTTGCAGAGACATGAATGTCAATCTGCTTGTTTTATAGATTATAGAAAAGCCTTTGACTGCGTTAACCATCAAAAACTTAGAGAAGTCCTCAAAACAACCGGAATAGATAGAGAAGAAATTCGATTGATTACAAATCTCTACTGGCAGCAAAACGCAGTGGTTAAAATTGAAGGAACATCGTCAGAAGAAATCACGATTAAACGAGGTGTAAGACAGGGCTGTGTGCTGTCACCGCTCTTATTTAATATATATTCAGAGGCTATCTTCAAAGAAGCTCTAGAAGGAATCGAATGTGGAATTAAGATTAACGGGAAAGTGATCAATAATATCAGGTATGCCGACGATACAGTTGTGCTGGCCGAGAATGAACAAGATTTGCAGAGGCTAATGAATGAATTAGTTCGGCATAGTGAAAACTGCGGTGTCCTCATAAATACCACAAAAACGAAGGTTCTTGCATTCATCAAAACACCTGTGCAGATTCACCTGGATATCAACGGTGACCCAGTAGAGCAAGTGTCTTCATACAAGTATTTGGGGTGTATTGTAAATGATCAATGCGACCCGAAGAAAGAAATTAGAAGCCGCATAGAACAAGCTAGAAAAACATTTATAAATATGAGACAATTTTTCACAAGGTCAGATTTGAGTTTGGAGCTACGGGTACGCATGGTCAGATGCTACATTTTTTCAGTTCTCCTGTACGAGTGTGAGAGTTGGACTCTTGACATATCGTTAGAAAAAAAACTAGATGCCTTCGAAATGTATATTTACCGCCGTATATTAAGAATATCATGGGTCTAAAGAGTTTCAAATGTGGAGGTTCTTAATCGAATGAGAAAACAGAAAGAACTCATGCTTACCATCAAAGAAAGAAAAGCATGCTACATATGCCACATAATGAGGGGTAAAAAGTATGAACTTCTCAGATTAATAATTGAAGACAAAGTCCAGGGCAAAAGATCTATCGGCAGACGCCAGAATTCCTGGCTAAAGGACATTCGTAGATGGTTTGGTTGCTCATCAATCGACATATTTCGTATGGCTGTATCTAGAATGACGTTAGCTATTTGGATCGCCAACCTTCGAAAGGAGACGGCGTCGTAAGAAGAAGAACCATTTTTCTCATATTGCAAATACTCATAAATCCGTTTTCGCCTATGTCATGTCGCCTTGATTATTTACACATAATACTTTGTGCCTTTTCCGATATGAATTCTGAATTTTTCCGAGACGTGCGTTTTAAAACAGCATATCTCCAATACAAAAAGAGATAATATGGTGATTAAAAAAACAAAATGCTCACAAAAGATGAGGCTACAATGTGATTTGATTTAGCAATAGCTACTACAGCTGTTGCACCCTACAGGGTTGTTACAAAGTATAGGCAAAAAACTTCGTCTTATTGTTGTGCCCTGTATATGCTCAAAATAAATTCGGAATAAAAATTTTTACGCACATACCTTATGTTCGATAGATAATAAAGCTATCAGAAAGTCTTTCTTGCGTCATCGAAGATCGATATTAAATACTTTTTAATAATTTTAAGTCTTGAACGACTGCTCATCCGTACCTACAGTAACCAGTAGTCCGGTAGAGTTAGGAATATAGATATAATTATGGTTAAATTTGGAAATTTTGAATGTAGATTATTTTCGTAAATGTATTCAAGAATCTAATGTTTATTGTTGTCGATCCAATAATATACACTGTGTTTTTTTTTAATTGGATTAGGATCGTTGATTTTTTTTTCGATCCTAATCCAATTAAAAAAAAACAGTGTATTCAAGAATTTCACTAGGTTTTTTCTTTGTTAAAATATGGTTGAAAAGCTTTAATTTTTTTCTTCGAATAAATGGTTGCACCCACTGATATCACTCTCTTAGCTGTTTATGTCTCTAAGGGTTCGATGGATTTTCTCACAATTGATTTTGAGTTTCGTCATCGTTTTTAATTTTGGTTATCCCATATATTACATTGAAAATATATGTGTGTTGTTGTAGTAATTGGTACCGTTCTTCAATTGCCATTATGGCGCTATCCACAATTTTATAGTAAAAATTTACTTTAAATGACAATTCAGGTGACAATGTGGATTCATCAGTTCCTTCATACAGAAAATTCCTTTTATTCTTCTAATCCGCTGGGTAGGTAAGCTGGGGAATGCTTCTTAAATGCTCTCTCTCGACGCATTTCAAAAAAATGATGAAAATCAGAACGTGGTGGTTATGAAATAATTTTTAAATTATGTAGTGCATTTAGTGAAGATTTATGTCAAATTTTGAACTCTGAAGAATTTTGCTAACAACATTAATTTTACTTAAAATATCGTGCCATATTACAATAGAGAAAATATAAATTTAAACCCAAAAATTATATATTTTAGTGATTTTGCTAACGTTCCGGTGTTCATATCCCTTATAATGTCATTTTTCAATGAAAATTTCCTGATATTTTTATCCCTGGGAAAGTTAAAGTTTTTAATTTGCGTAGGAAAATTTTCAATAAAAAATTGAACTTCATTTAGGTTAAATTTTGCAGGACATATTCCGGGATTGTTCGAAACCGAGTATAGGCTGGAACTTTCTACATTGCAAGCCGGAACCGCCGGATTAACTAGGTTGATTATGGTTTCAGCATCACTATTGGCACTATTGCTATCACTGTCATTTGACCTTTCATTATGTATGTCACTAGCTTCAGCAGAAGTAATTTGCTCTGAAATAGAATCTCCTTCAGGAAGAACTTTTTGTGAAGTAGAAGATCTTAAATTTTTGTCCGACTTTTCTTTTTCTCTGCTTGTAATCAAAAATGATTCTGAGATCATAAAATATTTAATAAGAATTTTATTATGGAAAATAGAATCATATTTTTGTGTTATTTGTATTTAAGAAAAAAAATCAATGGTGCCTGTTTTGGCCGCCTCTATTTTTGGCCGCCCGTGTGCACCGCACACTTTGCACACATAGTAGTGGCGGCCCTGGAGGTATTTAAATACATTTTGAAATTAAGAAAAAACACTGAAAGGTATTAAGCAATAAGACATTATTACTTACCCTGCAAAGAATATCTGCCATTATCATTCGCCCCTCGGCATCTGTGTTGACAACACGTACTCTAGCACCCGATCTAGCTGTAATCACTTCATCAGCTACATAGCTATTAGAACCGATGCTATTTCTAAAATGATACTCTATGTTAGTTTGTAAGCATTAATACAAAAGGAAATATATTCTTAACTATTATTTTCTTGTATCTTAAAAGATTTTACAATTTAAATTAATTTACTACTACTTATTTGCTATCAAACGGTATAAATAAAAAGGGAAAAGAATGAATTTAGCGATGTTTACTAAAAATAAAAACTTAAAAATATTTATTAGGTCACATTTTATTTTTTTTACAATTCCTATTCATTTTTCGTTTTTTTTTAAATTTATGTAATATTGCTAGTCAGAGTATTTTATTGGTCAAAGTAGTTTATTAGTATACCTTACTATTCCTACTCCTGCTACGACCCTAAGGTTTTTAGGAGCAAAATTTTGGACGAGGTGCATAAAGCCTAGAACTGCAGCCGCACCACATTTATCTCTTGACATGCCTCTCATGCCCCCGCCAATTTTAACATCAGCGCCGCCAGTGTCGTAGGTAACACCTAAAAAAATCAATATTGACTTTAATTAATTTTTAATTATTTTTTTAATAGTCCAAGAGATAGAGCAAAATGTTTGAGAGAGTTTAAGGTAATCTATTCTAAGATTTATTACCTTTTCCTACCAAGAACAAGGTCTGTTTAACAGACTCCGGTGGATTGTATTCCAGGAATATCAGACGCCCTCTGTGTCTTTCCTGGCAACTAGCGGCTCTGTTTACTGCCTCGAATAACGGATATTCTTTGGAAATTTTCGTTATATCATCCACTACGTCCACTTTTATTGGCGTATTGGCGAAAATATTCCTAACGTATTCTTCGATACGAGGTGGGGCCATTCTGAAAGTCAATATTAAAATGGCTTTTAGTTTTATTAAATACATATTTAAAGCCTCACAAAAGTACAGCGATTAGCAGCTCTAGGTACAACTGGAGCAAGAAACAACACAGCGCAAGCTTCGCTAGAAGTAATTCTGGACTTGCGATCAATTGAATGGCTCGTGAAAGATCTGGCCGCTAAGGGTGCCCTAAGATTAAAGGAATCCAATCTACGGAACCAGACCAACTAGGGTCACTCGAGAATATTTCCAATGAAAGGAAAAATTATGTCAAACACGAGTTAACATCGGCTAGACCAGAAAACGGACTATATGCACACCAAACATGGTTTTGGAGAAAAGGTAAGAATTCGCATTCCGACAAGAGAAGGATGGGAAAGCAACCGAGTAATGAACACTTAAGGGATAGCAGTCTACACAGGGGCTTCCGTAACTTCACGAGGCATAAGTATAGGCATCTTCTTAGAAGAAATAGACATCCGATGATTTTTTAGGCTATCGGATGGCTGTAATGTTCTACAATCTGAGGTTTAAAATTTAAAGGAAGCGGCCAGTTGTATACGAGAGAAAGTCTCGGATAGACCAATAGGAGATATTGTGATACACTCTGACAGCTTGGGCGCTTTAAGAAACATCACCATTTAATCAGTGAGATCGAAAACTGTGATGGACTGCCGAGAAGCACTGTCCTGGCTGCGACAAGGCGGGGAACAACCAAGAAGCACACAGACTCGCCAAAGAGCGAGGCAGGGGAGAAGCCGTGGAAGATGACCCAAAACTTGTGATGATTAACACACTGAAGGAAGCAATAGGAACTGACATCAAGGCCAAGCAGTAAGAGACGTGACAACACCGTGAGGACTGCGCTACAGCCCGAAGACTGTGGCCAGTGGTAGATATTGATATTAAAAAGACAAAACAAATCCTAGAGCACAAAAAGAACTTATATATAATTGCAGGTGTTATCACTGGAAACTGTCCCACGGGGGTAAACCTCGTTAGATGGAAGATTTCCAATGACGATCACTGCAGAGAATGCGTATAGGAAAACGAAACCATAAAGCACCTGCTGTGCCACTGTCCGGCACTGGAATACCGACGCTTTAAAACTTTAGGGCAAGTTTTTTTGGAGGGACTAGAGGAAGCAGCAGAAGCCAACATCAGCGACATCGGGTACTTTGCAAAGAGCTGGAAGTGCTTTAACTCAAAGAAGGAATGCGAGGAAGGTTTGGTACAATAATAACAGGAGTTTCGCATACCCAAGGCCTCCGAGTGAGGGTTTAAACAGGATCCTAAACCCCAACAACCTACCCTAACCTAACCTTGAGTTACATATTTGGAGATATCCAAAATGACTGAATAAGTTGGCAAACCCGGTATAGTTAAGAATGTCAATTCTTTGACGTCGTTTCAGTTTCAGCGATTTTTGTTTGCTTTTTTATTTGCGATTTTCCACAAATTTTATGTTCTAATATTTTTTGTAATTGCAAAGTTACCTACCTCTCTGGATCTGCTTGTCCGATGTCACGTGCAACGCGACGGCCATTTTCTAGAGTTAGCGCCGTTTCGATCAAGCTTGGAAGAGTTTTTTCATCTCCAGTCCAAACTCCTACATGTTCCAGTTTATTTGTTTTTGAAGGGTCGTGTTCACGAACTTGTATGGGCTAAAAATATTCTACTTTTAATTCTTACTAGTAAACTGATTAATTTAAAGATCTTTTGAAATACTAGAATTTTTTTGATATGTATTTTCTTGTTGGTAATACTAATTTTTCATCCCACTAGGTATGAGAGGAATATTTTTTACAATAAAACTTTTTTAAAAACCTTTAATTTTCATGTGAGATTTCTTATTAGAACTATTTGATAATTAGATTATAAAGACTAAATCAATGCTAATTCACTAATTTTCTGTATTATCATAATTTTTTCAGCAAAATCAGTTAAAAATATTGACAAAATGATTTGTAAATTCAAACATTTAATTTTGAAATGATTTAAAACATATTCAGCATTTTTAATATTATGGTTCTCAATTTTTGTTGCATATAGTTATATCATATTTAATGACCTTACTAATAAAGAAGCAAAAAGTAAATCTCGTAACACTCAATAGACAATTTGCTCAAATTATGTATTTTGTGTAAAGGAAATATTTAACAGACCATAAAGTTTAATAAAAGATGTGTTGAATTATAATGATATAAAATACACTGTTCAATGAAATTCATTAAAGAGGTTTATAAAGACAATTATACAGGGTGGCGCCTCTCATACGCCGCGGAAGCTCCAAGGAGAAGTGATGTAGTTCATATCGAAATGGAATTATGGCAGCATGTGTAGGTTAATTGAAAGCATTTTATAAAAATATTATTTTATATAGAAGAATTATACAGGGTGTCGCTAAAAAAAGTTACACATCAAAGTTGTGTTTTCTCTAATGGAACACCCTATATATTAATTGATTTTCGGATTCTAGGGAAAAAATAAAGAAGAGTTTTGTTAAAGAAGCATATACCTAAAATGTAAGGATTTTGACATATTTCACATTTTGTGAAAATAAAGAGTAAATTTTAAATTTCGATAACAGCTACCTAAATTTTATTATAGATTTAATTACAGTAACCATTGTATGTTAAACCAAATTGAAATATGACCCGAAAAGTTATACAAGGTGAGCCAAAATTAATATGGAACATTAGGCACTTTTAAAAGCAAGTCACTCCTTTATTTTAAATAAAACACCCAGTATATTTTTCCGGTGTTCAATGGGGAATTTATATATCTTTAAAATATTATTAAGGTTGCCTACCCCTCAGACAAAGATTTTCCCAGATATTTTAATTTTTATGATTTTGCGTCAGTAAATCTTTATTATTTGAAAAAATCTAGGTGGCTGTGTGATATAGGTACTGTTGTATCATTGCCTATAACTCTAGGTGGTGTTGGTACTCTATGGACGCGGAATTTGACAGACTGAAAATATAGGTTAAGTTAGTTTTTGGTGTAAAGTTAGACCATGTTGTATCAGTCTGAATCTCATATTAAAATAAAGCCTAGAACAAAAACCCACAGTCTTATTTCTAATAGAAATACACAACAGGTACCTTTTGTTAATTTAACAAAAATTAAAGATTGTAGAGTAAAATACTCAAGGGTAATAAAAAGATACACGTTTAAAACATATTTTAATTATTACAGAAATAGAACTTGATATAAACCTATAACTTATAACTATGCGACAAAAATTAGCTAGATGAAATCAAATGCTCAAAACTCTTCCTTTCCTGTTGCCTGTATAAAATGATTGTCTTTTCAAAAGGACTTTTCATTTTAAAAGGCATATGTGGAGTTCTACCTCGAAAATCAGCTACAATAATTTCTCTCATGTCGTCGACACTAGTTGGTCGAGTTTTGTAAACACTGTCTTTAACATATCCTCATAAAAAACCCAGACTAGATAAAATCAGGAGCATTTAAGTATTCTCTTATTTAAGCATTTTCGGCAAATTTCTGAGATTTTTTTTTTGTTTTAACTGACACAAAATGATAACTAGTTGTTAAAGTTGGACTAATTAGACAGCTATGTTGAAGTAACGTAAAGCTGCGTATAAATATGTCGAGACGAGTGCGAGAGACACCCGAGACGAGTCAACCTCAAGCGGATTTGAGGTTGACTCGTCATATTGGGACGGGGTCTGAGCTTCGAGCCGAGCCTATGCCCAGCCCGACGGCGTTGTCTCCGTTTTTTCCGGAGCCTTTGGCGAACCATCAAAAGGATTGGGGCGTCTATTTAACCAGTGGCGTATACACCGCGGCTCCGCGGAACAATTGCCTCGAGTCTCAAGGGGCTCGGATTCCACATCCCATTTTTATATAAAATAAATATTCTTTCCTTTATTTGTAATAATGTTAATAATGCATCCTAACTAGAGAGATGCAATTTTGTCTTCTCTAAAATAGTATAGGTAAGTTAGCCAAAGTAGGTAAATCTCATATACAAAGATTTATTAGTGATTTCTTTTATAAAAACATGAAAATTTTATGAAAAATGAATAAACGTAATGAACTTTTCGTCGAGTTATTAACGGCTCAAACGTAAATTATGCGCTATTTCTACTGAACGGAATTAAAGATGTAAGACAAGCTTCTTTACATATAGCATACATAGAAGATAAGAGAGGCAAATCGAGTGTGTTGAAAAAGGTGGCCATGCTCTCAGAATTCCTTACGGTACTCTCATAAATTAAGGGAATCGACAAAGAAAGGAACGATTCGATATAGAAAAATCCAGTTCCCGCCATAGAAATAATTAAAAAAAAACTCTCCGAGCTTTAAAAAAACCCTGTTCAGAAAGCACATTACGGCGAAGGTTTAAAAAACTGGGAATTAGATTTAAAATTATATACATAATAATATTTTAAAAATTATTAATAAGCGTGCTGCAATGATGGAAAGCCATAGATTAATAATGTGGCGAATTGAATACCTTGCAAAAATATACAACTTTAGAAATGAAGAAATGCAGATATATTATTTACAATATATGTTCCAGGTTAGTTATTGACATTTAAATGTAAATTTAAATTAATAATTTAAATCTTAATTACTTAAATTTCTAATTTTTTAAATAAATAAAGTCGAATTAGGTCTTATCTTACAGCGCTTTCAAATGGAACGGAGCGTCCGCGACGGACCGTCTGCGACTTCGAGCAAGTACCATGAGCTTATATGAACAATTTCACCTGGATCGCGTATGCTCCGTCCGGATGAGCTATCTTGAAAAAACATCCGTGCGGACGCTCTGCGCGTACGGTCCGCTCCATCTGAAAGCGCTGTTACGCTATTTAAAAATTTTATAGATATACAAACCACATGCAAAATATATTATTGAATAAAATAATTAAAGACTCAAAAAAACGGCACTGGCAGAAGGCTCCGCCGCCGCCGCTGCCGTGCCGTTATCTCCAGGTATCTCAGTCGGCGTTCAGTTTTTTTTAATGTAAACAAACAGTCCCAATATAATTTAAATTTATCATGAATTCCTTTAATTTATCTAGCTTGTTTTTTTACCTATTTTGAAATTAAATAAACATATACAGGGTATTTCAAAAAACATGTTCCATCTCTCGTGGGAAATTCCTAACGTAAAAATAAGATTTTTTTTATATCAACCAATCCAATTCTTTATTATCAATCCAGTTATTTTATAATTCGTAGTTTATTTTTTATTCGTAGCTACAGGGGGTTAAAATAGGGTTCCCAACCGTCCTCTATTCCAGAAACAGTCCTCTTTTTGATCTGATTGTCCTCTTTTCTCTCACGTATTGAAAACTTTGTTACATACCAACTTCAAAATCTAAAAAATATTCGTTTATCGCCACAGTGCTTTAAAGAATTGTTAATCTGTGTCTTTTATGTAATTTTATGTTTACTTACTGTTAGTTTATGTCTTGAAAAAAAGTTTTGTTGACAATGGTTTGCTTTATTTTAATAAGTTTTGAGTATAAATATTTTTGTGTATTTTAAATATTTATCGCATACCGTTTATATAACTTTTTGGTAAATTCTCTCGACATTTGAGCGACGTTTCAAAAATGTTTCGCCTGTGCCTTTTTTATCCTCTCGCCCCTATTTTTTATTTTCAAAGTTGCCAACCCTAGGTTAAGTGTTTTATCATTTTCTTCCAAGTGCTTTTAGTAATTTGAGATCGTTTGATGACTGATTTAGTTCTGATCCGGGTAGTTTTTGTATAAAACAGTGCCACCATCGTCGATTTTTTTCGTTAAATGCGAATAAGAAAATATCCTGATTATATTCTGGCCTTATCCCTTATTACTTTTATTTACAAGCGATCTTAAGTTTATAACATATACATATATTTTATTTAATTGTTAACATTAGGGTAGTTTTACCAATTGTGTATGTGTGGAATTCCACTGATATGTGTTTTAAGTTGTTTGTTAAATTTTTAAAATTTTTTGATTGTATTTTGCTCTCTTAACTTTGTAGTGTCCTGAAGATGTAAATAAATATTTCGAAACGTCGACAAATTTAAAACAAAGGACTTCTGTTCCTGTTGATTTTTTTCGATCCTAATCCAATTAAAAAACACAGTTAAATTTACTAATTATTTTTTTAAAATATTGAATGGTATCGAATAATACTTTAATATATTTATCAATATTTTAAAGTATCGATACTTTATATTCAATACAACCGATACCAAAATATCGATACTGCCTCAGTATCGCATAGCCCTATGAAGAATTTTGTGGGTTCGCCAAAGGCTCCACTGAAAATGGATAGCCGCGAGACGACGCCGTTCGACTGGGCAGGGACTCTGCTCGAGGCTAAATCGCTCGGCTCGAGGCTATAATATGACGAATTCCGCTTGAGGTTGACTCGTCTCGTCCTCGTCTCGGCATATTAGTACGCCTTTTGGAAAGAATTTGCTATAGCCTCGTTTCAAACTCGTTTCGGGTTTGTCTCGTACTTGCCTCGACATATTTATACGCGGCTTTAGACATATCACAACCACCTCGATTTTATCAAATAATAAAGCTCTACTCAGGTCAAATCATGTAAATCAAAATATCTAGGAAAATCTTTGATTGAGGGGTAGGCGACCTTAATAGTATTTTGAAGAGACATGAATTCTCCATTGAATATCGGAATAATATACTGGGTGTTTTATTTAAAATAAGAGAGTAACATGCTTTTAAAGGTGATCAATGTTAAATATTAATTTTGTCTCACCCTGTATGACTTTTTGGATCAAGTTTTCATTTGATTCGTCTTTGTTTTTCACTCGCTTTTGTTTCTCCCAGAATCCGAAAATCAATTAATATATAGGGTGTTTCATTACAAAAAACACAACTTTGATAAAAAGTTCTCTAAATTAACCTACATATGCTCACAAAATTTTATTTCAATACAAACTGTCATTCTCCTTGGAACCACCGCGGCGTATGAGAGGCGCCACCCTGTATTTAGACAAGTTTTATAAATATTACCAATTTAACATTTTAATCTGATAGTGCAAATAACCCAAGGACTTCACAGGAAATATTTGGTTCCTTGAAATCTACGAAAAAGTTAGATTTGTACATGTATGTTCACTATACATTTTTACCAAGAAAATCCCAAACTTACTGTAGGGTTTTCTATCTTATCTCTATTTCTGTGAAGTGGTTGTATAATATATAAACATATTGCCGAAATAATATACATAAATACTCTACCTAATAATCAAATCAAATACTGGGAATTTAGCTATAATTTTTTTATAAAATCTGTTTTCATATATTGCAAAATTATTTCTAACCATGTACAGGAATGAATTATGTTAAGGTACCCTATAATAAAATATATACTACTAGCGTGTACCAGCGACTTCGTTCGCGTCGAATTAATCATTTGTAATGGTTTGATTTGATAATAAATGTCTATTGATGATAAAGCAAAGCAAGAATTTCCATTAACATACAAACTGGATAAAATTTTCTCACATTTATGTCAGCATGAGAAAAAACAATATGGCGATATTATTATATAACTTGGTAATATTTTAGGGGTAGTTTCATCTTGTTGGAATTTGACTTTCGAAAAATCCGTTTGCCAAAAATAAGCTTTTTACGTCAAGCAGTTTAAGCAGAATCGTGGTTAAGAAATTATCCAACTTTTTGGAACACTCTGTATGATTTTTTAAAAAATTTCAAAATATGTAAAAACCCAAATAAATTACGCTTGTCCAAGCGTTTTCCCGAAAGACTAACCGTTTTTTAAATAACAAATATTGTAATATTTGAGGGGCGTTTTCACCCTCTTAGAATTTGAGATTCGAGAAACTCCTCCGTATCGAACCTCTACACCCCACAGTCAATCCGCTTGCCAAAAATCAGCTTTAAACGTCAAGCAGTTTAAGCAGAATCGTGATTACTCAATGGTCATATTTTATGAAACACCCTGTATAAATTTATAAAAAATCTTAAAATATGTAAGACAACAAAATAAAATATACGTGTTTAACAGTTTTTCCGAAAAACTCACCGGTTTTTAAATAAAAAATATTTTAATATTTGAGAGATAGTTTCACCCCCTTAGAATTCGAGTTTCGAAAAATCCCTTCTTATCGAACCTCTACACCCTAAAGTCAATCTGTTTTCCAAAAATCAGCTTTTTACGTCAAACGCTTTAAGCAGTATCGTGATTAATCAATCACCAGATTTTTCGAAATACCCTGTATACATTTTAAAAAATCTTGAAATATGTAAAAAAACAAAATAAAATATACGTGTTTAAGCGTTTTTTCGGAAACTTGACCGTTTCTTAAATAAAAAATATTGTAATATTTGAGCGGTGGTTTCACCCTCTTGGAACTGCAATTTCGAAAAATCCCTTATCGAACCTCTACACCCTAGAATCAACCTGTATGCCAAAATTGAGCTTCTTACGTTGAGTGGTTTGAGCAGGATCGTGATTAATCAGTATGTCAGTCACTTAAGGATTTTATATATTAGTATAGATAAAATTTTTATTTATTTATTTCTTTGGCTAATTATTAACTAATTACATAAGTGACATTAATGACGTATCGTATTAAATCAAAATATGCCTTTTTCAAACGTCACAAAAGTATTAATTCTTGCCACGTGATTGGCAATATAAAATAGTTATTTTTGTATCTAGTGCGCGAAGTCCTACTTTGGCGAACAATACTTGAATTTTTTAACGAGGCATAGCCGAGTTGAAAAATTAGTCGAGATCACCAAAGTAGTTCGCGCACGAGTTGCAAACAACATTTTTTCTACAAACATTAAAATCGGGATATCCCTAAAAATTATTATTATTATATTATTGCTTCGAAAAAAAAGCGTGAGCTTGGAATGTATGTTTTTTTTATTACTGAACATCGTCATCGATTTCCTTTTAGGTCGTTTTAATACTTGGTATTTCTGGTGCTTGCCGCCGTGACGAACTTACTGAAATAATGGCCGATAACATAGAAGATAAAGATTCAATTTTTGAATGTTAAAATACCCGATACAAAAACAAACATAGACCGAGTCTTTACAATGTCAAATTTGAATTATATTGAGATTTATCGAAAAATACGCAGCTCTTTGTCCAAGAAATGCTACCAATGGCAGATTGTTTTTAAAATATCAAAATAAAAGATGTGTTAACCAAGTGGTCGGCATACATTCTATTGGTAAGATGCCTAGCATGATAGCAAAACATTTGAAGCTGCCAGATTATGAGGCCTACAATGGGCATTCTTTCCGGAGAACTTCAGCCACACTCCTTGCTAAGGCGGGCGTGATATATTTAGTTTGAAGCGCCACGGAGGATGGAAATCTTCGACAGTGGTCGAGGATTCTATCAACAATAAAATTCAAATATCAAATAAAATTTTAGAGTGTCAAATACCAGGATCAAGTACCTCTACATCAAAATTGGGTAGTGTCTCAAGACCCAAAACCCCCATACCTCAAGCAAAATCAGAACTATCTAGTTTGGGATTAAATATTGGTTCGTGTACTGGTTGTACTATTAATGTTAGTATTGTAAATAATAACTAGAATATGCATTAGTGTTAAGTTTGATATTTGTTATTTTGTTTATTCTGGAATATTTCGAAATAAATAATTAGTTATGACTTAGTTCTTCATTTTCCAAAAATTAAACAAAATCCCATATAATTTACATGTAGTGTGCCAAATAATAGGCATTTAACGCATTACTTCGCGCACCGTGTCATGGTAATGTAGGAAAATGAAAAAAAGTGTCACTTCGCACATTGCTATCAATTCGCGAACCTTGTCATTTTTTGACGTTTGTAGAAAAAAGTCATTTAACGCCTAGGCATAATAAAAACTTTTAGGCCTAAGCACAATAGCACAAAAGCATAATTTTTACTCGTAATACATCAATATACTATTTTCTTTGAAACTTAGTATTTATACAGGGTTGTTCACCACATACGACACGGAGTATTGTAGCTAAACGATGAGATTTTTACAAATTGTAAGTTTGGGGTTCGTTGAATGACTATTAGAGCTACAATTTAAAAATATTTTTACAAGATACAGAGTGTCCCATATAAATAAAAAATATCAAAGTTGTATTTTTTTAAATGGAACACCCTGTATATTATTACATTTTTAGTTTCTACGATTAAAATAAAGGTAAATTTGATTAAGCTTTACTATACTTAAACCTTACCGTTTTTGAAATATTTTCAATTTTGTGAAATTGCAGTAAAAATTTTAAAGCTTCATTTCTCCAAGGGTATCAATGTGTTTAATACTAAATATTTAATGAAGTTTATTTATTGATCAATTATTGTGTTGCAATAATAAAAATAATACTACCTTATACAGAGTGTCTAAAAATTTTTGCGTTGATTAATAATAATTGCTCCAAATACTAAAAAACTGAATTTTGTATGGGCATTAGACAGTGTGATAAAAAGTAACACCTTAAAAATGATATTTCATTTTTTAATAAATGCTTATTTATAACAACAAAGACTTTAATTTGATAACTTATTATTATATTGATTTCTGACTCAAAAATCCACATTTATTTATAATAATTTATTAACGAACACAATTAAGTATGTCATTAATTAGTATATGGGCGGAAATAATGGTGTTATATTTAATTAATGGTATACTCTTTTATAAAGATTTAAATAGTTTTCTTTTTGCATACAAATGGGCTAGTAATATTATCGTTTTGCTAAAATCGATAATATTACTAGTCTGTACATTTTGTACATTTGTTGCTTTAAAAACAATCTAAAATATCAGTATTCCATGGATATATTGATAAATGAGGTCTAAATTATAAGAAAATGCATTTTCTACGAAAACTTGAGGGGATAGGTAAAAAAATGGTATAATTCAATTTGATAGACAATTTAATTGTGCATCTGATTCTCCTAAAATATACAGGGCATTCCATTTAAATTAAAGAAGTTATTGCCCTTTGAAGCTAATAATTATTTAAAATAAATTTTTAGACACTCTGTATAAGGTAGTATTATTTTTATTATTGCAACACAATAACTGATCAGTAAATAAACTTCTACTTTTATATTATATTTGTATCTATTACGGTTACCGAGTTACCAATGCTCGGACCTCGAATTTGTAGCACTCTGTATAATTACCTACAAGGCAAAATTTTTTATATTATTTGCGACAAGTAGAAATTTATTTTTTGTGGGTCGCGCGTCGCCTGTAATGACAAACGGACAGCCCCGTTACAAAAAATATGATTTTTACTCCCAATAATATACTATTTTCTTGTTTTGATATATATTTTCCATTGGTATATTTATGCAGGGCAATTGAAAAATTCACATTAATGGCAATTTCCATAAGAACCTACGTAATATGAGAATGTAAATATGAACTTAAGTGTCTAATTCTACGAGTATACATCTAATTGATAGTCTATCTATTTTTATACTTACTGTATATATGATTTTCAAGATGCCTAATAAGGTCACTAATTGGCTTTTTGAAAAGTTTGAATCTGGTGGAAGGAACACCAAGGGTTTCTTACTACCCGATTTTAAAGCTCTTTTTATTGCTTTTTCTGCCGCTTCTTCATAAATACGAACATCTTCATAATCTGGATCAATCGGGCCTAAAAAGAGGTAAGTATATTGGGATAGGTATACAGTTTAGTATACAGGATTATTCAAGGTATTCTCTACGGGTATTGCATGTAAACGATTAGATTTTTGGAGTAGTGTGGCTTTCTGAAGGACTACTGGCGCTCAAGTTTAAAATTATTTTAATAAGGACACAAGAGTTGTATAAATAAAAAAAATTAAAGTGGTAGTGTTGCATTTTTGTTTCTACGATAGAATTAAAGGTAAATCTAATTAAGGCATTATATGAATTTGTTTTTGAAATATTTTTAGGAAAAATGCAGTAACATATGCCTATACACGGTAAGTCTTAAGTAAGTGCAAATATTCTTAGAGGTAGTATATTTTGATCCTAAAAACATGTTTTTGTTTTTTTTCGGAAACAATTTTTTTGAAAATTTAGTAATTTTTGAATAAAAAATGTTTTTTTTTTAATTTTTACTTAAAAAACATAATATCTTGATGATATGGTAACATAGGTAGTAGATAAAATTAAAAAAGAGTTGTTCTTGAAATTTAAGCGAAATATAATTTCTTTTTTAATTTTTAAAAATCTCATTTTCAAGAAATAAGTTAGTTATCATTAGTTTCAAGAAGTCTCATTTTCAAAGAAATAAGTCAGTTATTTTGGACTTGAAAAATGGTAAAGAGAAAATATTTTTCTTTATCGAGGGAAATATTTGCACTTATACTCTTAAGACCCTGTATATGTACAATAGTTTAATTTTACTCATCTTCTCATTATTCTAACATTGTTCGTGAAATTCGCATCTGAATTTTAACATATTTTGGTGTTCTGAAAAAATAACTAAACAAATATTATATTTATGTCATAATGCATAAATAAGGAATCAATAAAAATATTTTTTTAATATGTTTTACTACTTTTTACAAATATTTCTAAGATTTCAGGTAAAATCTAATTAATGAAACACTATTAGGTAACTACCCCAAACAGTGGTTGCGTTCTACTTTTATACCCCTGCCTAAGAAGACCAATGCCAGAAAGTGTAAAGATCACAGACTTATCAGCCTGATGAGCCATGCCCTAAAAATATTTCTGAAAATAATACACCAGAGAATTCACAAAAAATGTGAAAGGGACATAAGCGATTCGCAAATGGGGTTCAGACAAGGGTTAGGCACCAGTGAAGCGATAGTTGCAACACAGGTGCTTGTCCAGAACTGCTACGATCAGAGAAAGGATGTGTGCCTGTGTTTCATAGACTACGCATTCGATCGCGTACAGCACCACAAATTAATGCAGCTCCTGAAAAGACTTCATATAGATCATAAAGACATCCAATGCGTTGAAAAGTTATACTGGTACCAAACAGCATAAATAAAATTGTCCAATACCATGTCCAATTCCACACAAGTTAGAAGGGGGGTGCGACAGGGTTGCGTGCTCCACTCCTCCTATCGATCTCCACTCCTATTTAATTTATACTTAGAAGCTATTTTCCAAGAGGCTCTGGAGGGCGTGGAAATGGGAGTCAAAGTTAATGGAGTGTGGATTAATAATATTCGCTATGCCGATGATACGGTCTTAATTGCAGACAATATACATGACCTACAACAACTGGTCAACAAGGTAGGATAACAGAGCAAAGCAATGGGTTTAAACATCAACATAAAGAAAACCAAATTTATGATTATATCCAGAAACCCAGATCTGTTTATAAACTTCATTCTAACATATAACTCAAGGCCCATAGAAAGAGTAGATAAATTTAAATACTTGGGCATCTGGCTCTCCGAAGATTCGACATCAGACAAGGAAATTAAATGTCGCATCGAACAAGCTCGGCAGGCATTCTTGAGGTTTCGAAAAGTACTTGTCTGTTCTGATTTTGATCTTAGCCTTAGATTAAGATTCGTAAAGTGTTATGTGTGGTCGGTGCTCCTTTATGGCATCTGGCTCTCCGAAGATTCGACCTCGGATTCGACATCAGACAAGGAAATTAAATGTCGCATCGAACAAGCTCGGCAGGCATTCTTGAGGTTTCGAAAAGTACTTGTCTGTTCTGATTTTGATCTTAGCCTTAGATTAAGATTCGTAAAGTGTTATGTGTGGTCGGTGCTCCTTTATGGCATGGAAGGTTGGACATTGAAAGCAGCTACCATCAAAAAATTGGAGGCTTTTGAGATGTGGCTATATCGCAGAATCCTGAAGATACCTTGGACGGCTAGATTGACAAATGAAGTTCTCAGACGTGTTGACAAAGAGCGTGAATTATTTGAATTGATTAAAAAGAAAAAAACCGCATACCTGGGGCACATAATGCGAAACCCCAAATATCAATTCTTGCATTTGTTGATCGAAGGCAAGATCGAAGGCCGGAGGGGTATCGAAAGGAAGAAAATGTCTTGGCTGAGGAATATTAGACAGTGGACAGGGCTACTCGATGTTCAGTCGTTAATACACACCGCCCGGAACAGAGAAGCAATGGAAAATGTTATCGCAAACATCCATTAATGGATTTGCACTAGAAGAAGAAGAAACGCTATTTTCTTTACAATGTTGATTTTAAATTGAAAAGAGTAGGAAAACTTCAAATGTATTGTCTAAAAAAATATTTTCAATGATTCTAGAATTATTATTTTGTAACAGATTAAAAATCTAATCCAGACAGATATCTAGGCAGAGATTACAAGTATTAAAGCGGGTTATTAATCCTACAGATATTTTAAGAACGATTTTATTTATAAAATTTTATATATAAAAATTAGTAATGGGAAAACCCGATTAATTTCAATAGTCGAGTACTCGAGTTTCAAGCAATTTTAATAATCGAGTACTCGATTATTGAATCGAGCGAAATATCGCTCGTATTTAAAAATACGATTTTTCGCCCGTTGCCTGTTGCTTGTTGTACTCGTAACGCCAATCAGTAAGTTGCGTACGCAGAGCACATATTCTTTCGGTGATGAATGGCAAGTAGCAAGCGACGAGCGATTCGCTTGATCGCTTGCTTGATTTAGTTTATTTCAAGGCATTGTCGATGTAGGTCGTAAAATTTTGTCACTCAAATACGCAACGGATAACGTCGTATAAATTTGCTACCTGCAATGTATGTAGAAAATTCGCTCGGCTTTTTATCGACTATGTCACATTACAATCGGATTTCAATTTATTTCACTCTAGGTCGCTCGTAACTCGTCGCTTGCATCGCTCGTTCATAATCGAGCGATATCGGTTATTTCAATAATCGAGTCCTCGAGTGAATTTTCGCTCGAGTTATCCCATCACTAATAAAAATACACATTTGGATCATAGTATCCAATAGGGACTAGTTAAGGAATATTTTGTGCATATGCTTATTTACTTTTTAAGTCAAAGTATAAACTATATAAGTATTATCTCCTGTAACCAACGTTTGTAAAATCGCTTAACTTATGCTGTATTCCGTTGCAAAACCAGGCGAACCAGACCGGTAAACTACGGTAGAGAGCGGTTCCTGAAAAACATCGGTTTGATACGGAATGGTTTGGTAAAATAATGGAAACGTCAAATGTTGACGTTTTCTAAATTTCAATACCTCTATTATAAAATTTATCTTTTATGCATTTTTAATGTACCTATTCTCTGCTTTTATGTTAGCCTATTCTTTTCAATGGAGTTTAATATTGAAAAGTACTGTATTAATAAACTGTTAAACTCATTAGACAGCTCAAGTGAAGATTTGCAGGTTCAATATTAAAACAGGTCAATAATAAATAAACAAATCTAATCAATGTTTATATTTTTATAGCTTACAAAACATTCACAATTACTTGTCTTGCTTTTCATGTATTCTTTAAATGTTCCTGACTTTAAGAAACAATGGCTGCACGATAAGTTTAAATGGTCCTAAACAGTCATTCTATTTAGTTAATGAAATCTATTTACCTTTACTGCCTACCTCCATACATTTTGGATGTAAATACAAAATATTATTACAAATTTTAGAAATTAAATCAGAATTTCATTCGAATTTCCAATATTTGCTTGATTTCTCTCAGATAAATGACATTGATTGACAAACAAAACCAGGAAAACCAGTCTTCTCGCGCCGAAGGACTCAACCGAATTTTTCAGGAACCGTGTTCCGTAATAAGAAAACTTTCAGGAAACCGATAGAAACGGAACATAAAACCATAATCAAGGTAAGCAACTTAATACACCCTTAGATCCAACTGCCAGTTGTCAAAAACTATAACCAGAGAACATTACAACTTTCGCAATGTTTTCAAGTGTTAAAATATAAGAGAAAAATATGGTCATTCAATGATAATATAATATTATACAACGCATACTTATGGCGAATCTCGAAAACATAGTAGTTGAAAGTCAAAGGTAGCGATGTGACAAAGTAATATTTAGTATTTAATGTTTGCATATGACAAATATTTTATTATCTAATCTAAGGGTGTATTCCGTTGTTTACCTTTGTTATGGTTTTAAGTTTAGTTTTTTAAAAATTCCCTATCCGTGTTTGCTCTTTCCATCATATCAAAACAAAACGCCTGCCGCCGTATTTCGTCCCCATCTCGTAGCTCTTGATGCTTTTCATATATGAATGAATAGTATTTATGTCGTTTCAAAATTCGAAAAGTGTGATCTATTCCTATTTCATCCTCAAGTTTCCTTGTGCTGGTCTTTCCATCGTTCTCTTCCACGCACAATAAAACTTCCAAGTCGGTATCATTTCTTGCATCTTCTCTTTGTTCCTGCCTTGCTTCACATCTGCAGTTATTTATTAGGGTACCTATGGTCTCAAATCTCTGGATATCCCTTGCGATTGTAGAGTTTCTAGGTATCGGTCTATTCGGATACAGAACAGCAAATATGTCCGACACCTTTTGATAACTATTTCCTTGATAATACCATTTAATCATCAATACTTTTTCTTCGGTAGTGTAATTCCTGGCTAATATTTTCGATGTAGGTATGAGTTTTTAATAATAATAATAAAGCACCAAATAGTTAAATTTCCGAAATGACAACTTCATTTGACGGTTATCTTTTACTTTGACTGGTGACTGGTGATAGTAAATACAGAGCCATAAGAAAGGAGAAATATTTAAAAAGAAATCGGCAATAACTCGTAAACGGGCTAATCAAAAATATCTAAAGTTATTCTTTTGAATGTGGGTTTTACTGCTCTTTAATAAATCTAAATAGAATTATTCTCTAAAATAATTAGGGAAGCCATTAATTGACCCCATTAAAATTTACATGGGATTTCCTATGTCCCACTCGACGATGCAACACCCGGTATATCATATTTTGTTGGTATTTTAATTATATCTTTGTCGTAGAGTAATTTGAGCGTAGATTTTTCCAAATATCATTTAAATGCCTATTCTAAATAAAACGAAATTCTAGACAAAAAAGTCTAATAGAACTTTTGCGTAAAATAATCTGGGGAGATAATATTTGACCGTTTCAAAATTTACATGGCATTTCCTAAGTCCCGTGTTCCGATGAACCACACGGTACATCACTGGGTTAAAATTATAAATGTCACTTTTTATTATAGGTATTATTTAAAAAAATGTTTAACCTGTTGGAGAATAAATCAGCTTCTTTGAAGGTAGCTTAGTGGACAGAACAGCCAATTCTGTTTCTAATCCTGGATCTAGAGACAAGGCATCGGTCACTACTCCAGAAATTGCGGACGGCAATGTTTGGCCAGGTGTGTATATCAAAATAATTGAATCGTAGTCAGCCGATTCCAGAGATGAACTTGCAACTATACGGGTCTCAGGAGGCCTAAAACAATAATTAGTCATTAATTTTTATTAATGTTATTTGGTGATGAGCAAATCTAAGACTAATACCAAGACACCCTTGGTCTTGGTATCGTAGTGTAATTAGTAGTCTTGGTCTTGCTAAAAGACTCTTCCAATACTCACTTGTTTAATATATTTTTACTAGAGGTATAGGAAATATTTAAATTAATAATTTTTCAAGTAATTTAAAGCAAATGAAACTTTAAAGAAAGAAAACATTTCTCTGATGATAAGTTTTATTTTTCAATATACTATATTGACTCAGCATTGATTCTTTTAAAAATTTATGTAAAAGTATTATTTAATTAAATTATTAAATTATAACAATAATTTTCAACAAATAACTAACGTTTTGTGTCATATTTACTATTTCGAATGATTCAAAAAACATGAGCGCTTTATTTATATTAAAAATTTATAGATCCTTGGAAAAAATGAGATTAATAGAAAACGTCAAAAAAAAAGACCTCAAGACCGCCAGAGTTTTGTAGGCCGAGCCTTGGTCTTGGTTTTCCTCAGGTCTTGCACCAGTCGGTTTTGGTCTTGATTTTACTTTTTGTGTAAGATCAAGACCAAAACCAATAATATTTTTAAAATGAAACTTCGTTACTCGTGATGGGAGTAAAAATTGAAGGCCGTGACACACGAGACGCGTCCGGAAAAGTGGTAACGATCGCAGGTTCAGACGGAGCGTCGTAAGGTCATTGGGGATCAAAAAAGGGGCCTGCTTGGAAAAAAGACCGGAAGTTTTGAAAGTTTGCAGGTTTATAGGTTTTGGGGTCCCTAACTAAAATCCATAAAACGCACATTTCCAGACTTGCCGCCGGCGCCGCCCCACCATCTTGCCAAGATGGCGCCCAAAATCTATTATAGTATTTTGTAAATATCTCGAAAACTATGCGTTTTTTTGCAAAAATTTGAAGAGAGCAAAATTAAAGAGGATAAAATTTCCTATAAAAAGGTTCTATGCAAGTATTCGCTAAAGTCAACTGTTTAGGCACAAAATACCTGGAAATTTTAAAGTTTTGCGTAAAGTATGATATATGTATGTATAGTCGATTTTCCGAAATCAAATGTCGATAAGGGTTCACTAAAATTAGCTTTAGTTTAGTTTCTTCAATTTTGTCATGAAACAGTGGCGTATCAGCAATTCGCTCATTAATTTTATAAATAATTAATTGTCGTGCTGGACAGCATTCATTGCGGACTTACCACCAAGTTCAGCATTGGTCTGGTTGTATCAAAGATGCCGAAGAATGGGGTTAGAAGAAAACAAAAACAGGCATTACTCCAGTCACAACGTTGAAAGATCCAGCTCCAAAATCCCTATTGGCATTTTTATCCTGTAAATGCAAAACCAACAACTGTGGTAGGTAAAACCCTCGGATGCAGAAAAGCAGGATTAAAATGTTCAATGATTTATGCATACTGCAATGGGAAATCCTGTTACAACGTCACTGAAGTGTCACTCGACGAATCCGATGAAGAGGAGTTGGACTTGCCTGTAGATATCCCTCTGGCTGAAGATGAAGAGTTGGACGAATTGAGACACCACCCTGATGAGCCCAACACAGCAGACACGATCGACTTTGACATCAATGAGCCAGGTCCGTCGGGCTTGTGCAGATAAGTTAAAGTATTTAATTTACCTAGTGGAGTAGGCCTCCGGGGAGACCACGTTAAAATAAACGCGCCATGTACAGGGTGAGTCAACGATAGAGTAAAGTCCATTATCTCACTTGCTTCGAGGTTTACAAAAAAATATTAAATATAAAAGTTGTAGAGACGGTTAAGACACACATTTTAAAATTATTATAGAGTATACAGGGTGCTTCAAAAAAGTGTGGCGAATATAACATATATTTTTTTAAATGGAACACCCTCTTTTTTATTTTATTTTTAGATTCGGCGCAAAATTCCATAACTTTTTTATATATAATGTTATATACCTAAAATTAATAATTTTTGTAATATTTAAATTTGTTTAAACAAATGTTAGATTGCAATGTGATAAAAAATTGTCAGTAATGGCATTGTTTGTGAAGTTGGAGAACTAAAATTTGGTAGGAGAATTTTATGGAGATATAGAAAAAGACCTATGGAAAGATATTTTAGTTAGATGCTACAGGGTGTTCAAAATATATTTATGAATTTCAACTACTTAAAATTAAGAAATTTCATGATCATTGAACATGATCAAAATTTCATATGTCTGTTAAGCAAGTTAAGAACAAAACGTGAATTTTAGTTTACTTTGTTGTAATAAGTATAAATGGTAGAGGTAAAGATAATAGTTTTACAGATTTTCCTGAAAATGAATTAGTCAATGTGACTGATATACACGAACAAGTCAAGATAAACATATTTTTTTGGCTCAGTACTATATATTACATAGTACTTTGCTAAGTACTATAAGAATAGATGTAGATTATCTAGAAAACATTTTCATATTATATTATATTATTTTCAGTGTGTAATGGGACGGTTTCGCAGCTGTAATATTGGCTTTATGAAATGAATTATAAACCAGAATTACTACGAGAAAAAAACTTTACTGTATGTCGAAAAAAATTTCTATATCGGTAGTCGTCAACAATTAGATAATCTAGTTAGTATTACCCTAATCTGTGGCTATTAGCCCCGACGGAAAATCCAAGTGTTATCTTTCATAATATAGAAATACACCAAGTAATTCACGATTACGATTTTAGTTGATTTGAGTAAATTTAATAAATTTTAACTAATAATAACAATTATTGCAATTAATTATTAAACTACTTGTTAAAGATAAGTAGTAAATACTTTCGTTTTGTCACGGCAACTATGATGTTATAGCGTAATTGCATTAAAAATTAGTGTAAAAATAGAAAAAATTGGAATAAATCGCTAACTATTAAAAATAGGTATATGACATACTTAATAAAAGTTGAAGAGCTTTGCAAAATCTATCAGAAAAAATGAAAATATATAGGGTGTACCATTTGAAAAATTTGAGATTTTTTAATTTTAAGTAGTTGAAATTCATAAATATATTTTGAACACCCTGTTGCATTTAACTAAAATATCTTTACATATATCCTTTTTTTCATCTTTATAAAACTGTCATACCAAATTTTGGTATTGCAACTTCAGAAACAATGGTAGGTACCACTGACAATTTTTTACCACACTGCAGTTTACCATTTGTTTAAACAAATTTAAATATTACAAAAATTATTAATTTTAGGTATATAACATTATATATAAAAAAGTTATGGAATTTTGCGGAGAATCTAAAAATAAAATAAAAAATAGGGTGTTGCATTTAAAAAAATATATGTTATATCCGCCACACTTTTTTGAAGCACCCTGTATACTCTACAATAATTTTAAAATGTGTATCTTAACCTTCCCTATAACTTTTATATTAAACATTTTTTTGCAAACCTCGAAAGAAGTGAGATAACGGACTTTACTCTATCGTTGACTCACCTTGTACAATTTATATCATTACCAAAGTTTTATTTTAAAAATTTGTATCTTTTCAAAATTGTAATAGTTTTAATTAAGAGGCGAAAGAATAAATAAATATCAGCAAAATTTTAACAGAGAGCTGGTACAAATCTAAGAACTTGACAACGGTCCGCCAAAAAATGTATGGAAGGATAGGATATGGAACAGAAGGGAAACGGAACGGATTTTGTCCTATTCATTTACATGATATAATATTTTATGTAAAGGGAAAGGAAACGGAAGGGAGCTGATATGGAAGGTATAGTGAGAATCAACCTTTAAATGGAATTTGGTATGTCGATAGATTGGACCAAGGCCACCTTAACCGTGTACACCACGTGTCACTGTAACACTGAGGTTTGAAGTAAGAAACGTCAAAAGTTGTTGTGGTTCGATCGCGGCCAAATTTGGTGAGTAAGTTATGCCAGCTAGGGTGTCACCATAGACTAATGTCACGTACTAGAGATAGATTGGACACTGATATAAAACAAATGAGTCCGTCATTTAGAGCCACCTGGTGATCCGGAAGAAACTAATGGAGAGTTTTGGCATAACATAATTTTAGCGTTCCTTTACTTATTAACGCTAATTAAAACGGTAACGTTATTCAAGCGCAAAATTATTCCTTGTAAAATATAAAATAATAAATATAGACTTTTTTACTGCCATTTTATGTTTTATTAGATCATTAGAAGTGTAACATAATTACAACAAAATTAAAATTATAAATACATACATTTTAAACAATAGATCACATAGCGCCTATTTTTTTGATTTAACAACTAAATTATAATATAGTAAAAATATTATAGACTACTAATTGTTACTAAAAATACTATATATTATAGTGTGACCAACGGATCTGTAGCTACGGAGTATCGGCAGGGGAACGCAGTTGTAAACAAAACACGCCCAATTTCATTCATAAAATAGGCATGGGCGTAAGGTGTTATATGAAAATAATGTGTATCATAAATATAATACTCAGATTAATAATTTTTTTCAAAAACTTTATACTGTTTGAATCGTTACTGTTGAGTTAGCAGATAAACACTAAAAGCTTTTATTAAAGCTCCCTTAAATATTTTGAATCATTTTATTATTGTGTTGTTAATATAATAGAAGAAATAATTACAGCTGGGGGTTGGAACCTTTGGTGTTACACAGCAAAATAGAACACTAAATCAGTACAATACACCAAAACACTTTTAATTTTACACTGGACGCACGTTTCGCTAACCATGTCTGCCATCAGCAGATGATCAAGACTGAGTCTTGAGGTATATTTATTTATATCTATACTAACTATATTTTTTTCTATAATACACAATTTTAGATATAACTATTTCCAGCAAAAAAAAAATCTTGAAAATAGTTAACTTTGGAAGCGCAAACAAAACATAATTTTACTCACCAGTAGATCCAATATTGCCTATTACACCAGATATGGTATCGCTCCGCCAGCAATTTTTAAAGGTTAGGTCATTG